CTCCAAAGCCACAGAGAAACCCTGTCTGGAAAAAAAAACCAAAAAAGAAAGAAAGAAAGAAAGAAAGAAAGAAAGAAAGAAAGAAAAGAAAGAAAGAGTAGGGTTCCGGTTATTTAAGGGTTTTAGAATTAAGATGAATACTACCCTGAGATTAGTTAGCTGATATTGAAATTGTCAAATGCTAATCACATGCTGGAGTACTTTTAGCTTTTCCTGGACAAAGGAAAAGAGAGAGCTCTGATATGCTAAACAATAAATAACAGGCTCCATTTCTAACAACAATGAGTGAGACCTGCTGTTCAGACAGTTTGAGGTCAAAGAGAGGGACCACTGGATGAGTTTGGAGACTTTAGATTGATTTCAAGCACGAGTTTTAAAATATACTGTTTTCCTGCCAAGTGTGGGGTCAGTCTATTATTCAACGAGACAGCAAACAAGGTGAGTACAAGTCTGTGTGTTTTCAGGAAGTAAATGAATGCTGTGTCAACTGGCCCATATGATGTAGATGTAGTTAAGGATAAGCAACTATTATTTATGATTTCTTCCATAGGTACCAACTTATTCCTGGTTGCTGCTCATGAACTTGGCCACTCACTGGGCCTCTTTCACTCAGCCAAGCCTGAAGCATTGATGTACCCAGTCTACAAGTCCTCCGGAGACCTGGCCCGCTTCCGTCTCTCTCAAGATGATGTGGATGGCATTCAGTCCCTCTACGGTGAGTGACGGGACAAAGGAGTACTTGAGGCTGTTGTGATGTTACATAAGTATTTGTGATTAGATTCAGAGTCCTTGGGGGTGTTTGGGGAGCACAGAATTGACATGCAGGCCACATTTCTCTTAACGTTGCCTCCTTTAACCTGTTCCCTTTAGGACCTCCCCCAGCATCCCCTGATGTCCCCGTGGTACCCACCAAACCTAACTCTCTGGAACCTGAATCATCGCTGATGTGCAGTCCTGCTTTGTCCTTTGATGCAGTCAGCACCCTTCGGGGAGAATTCTTGTTTTTTAAAGACAGGTCAGACCCAAGAACCCTAAATTGCTATCTATTTTTATGAAAATTGCTTAGAAAGGGCAATAACCAGGAAAACAATCAATATAAGCATTTTAAAGACAAACTCTCAAGCCTGGACTCTCTCAGATCTGACACTGACCTTTCCACATGTTTCTAAAACTGTCAAGTTCATTTTTGAAGCTGGATAGTTTGATTCTTGTCACTGAGGTTTTGTCCCCAGATGTTCTAGTCATAGGCTGTTGTTTAGAGGGTAGAAATGATCCTCAGAGCACAGTTTATCTGTTTAGAGGGTAGAAATGATCCTCAGAGGCAGAGTTTTATCTTTACTTTCTTTCAAAATGACACTAGGAGAAGCATCATATTTTATCGGTTCATGTACTGCTCAGTAAGTATGCCTGGGAGAAAACATTCATCTGCATGAAAGGGAGCTGAAAGTTTTCTTTCCCAGATTTCTCCACACTTAAGCAATCTGGATATTTTGAGAGGCCCAGACTGGCTGGAAGCTGTTATGCTCTTGCCTCTTCCCAAGTGCTAGGATTAGGGGCTGTGCCACCATACCCTAGTTCAAGATCTCTTGTGTATCCTGGATGTTTCTGTACAAGGATATATTTATACATCACACCCATGCACAGGCACACACACCTCTCACTCACTGTCTATCTTTTTGGGTAGTGTGAGTGGTACTTTAATTACCAATTACACACTGTTTCACATTTATTACATGTACTTAAAGCTTATGCTGAACTAATTAATTGACATGGTGGAGAACTTTGGTTTCACAGATATTGCTCTGGGAATCTATGACAGGAGGTCTGTTGCAGTCTGAGAGAGAGAGAGAGAGAGAGAGAGAGAGAGAGAGAGAGAGAGCACTAGTGGATGAGAGAACATGGGGTGAATTAGCACTGACACCCAGGATAATACACTAAAGATAAAAGGCTGTTTTTCAAATGCTATTTTTCTTTTACATCTATTTTTTAGGCATTTTTGGCGAAAATCTTTGAGGACCCCTGAGGCTGGCTTTTATTTGATTTCTTCATTTTGGCCCTCCCTCCCTTCCAGCATGGATGCCGCATATGAGGTTACTAACAGAGACACTGTTTTCATATTTAAAGGTGATTCTTCCACAACATTGCTTTAACTTAGTGAAACAGCCTTCTGATGGGAAAACTGAACAGGGCTTTACTATGTCAAATTCTGTTCAATTAAAAAATAGCCAAAGATAATAAAGAAACACATAAAACCAACATTTTATTTATAGTTAAAAAGTGAACTCAGGGAGATACATTGACTGGGTTGAAAATCACCTCATTTGTTCCTAGCTCATTGTTCCCAGCTGTGCATTTTTGTTGACTGACCATCCTAGAGCTAAGGCCTAAATCTATTCACCACAAAAAGACAAGGTGCTAAGATTGTATTTCCACAACATCCTTACTGGACTTTTAACATGACTGCTGTTTCTGTTGCTGTTTTGTTTCTGTACAGGGGATCAGTTCTGGGCTGTCCGAGGGCACGAGGAGCAAGCAGGCTACCCTAAAAGCATCCACACTTTGGGTCTCCCTGCAACTGTTGGGAAGATTGATGCCGCCGTTTCTGACAAGGAGAAGAAGAAGACGTACTTCTTTGTAGAGGACAAATACTGGAGGTGAGATGCTGTGAGGATGGTTTTGTGAAGAGACTGACTTGAGAGTTGCTTTCTCTCTCTGAGGAAACACTTCCCTTATCCTCACTCTCCTTTCTGAACGAGGAC